CAGACAACAGTCCTATAAGTTTATGTGTATGATCTGAATTCCCAGGTGCATAGTAGAGCTGATAAGAGGCAAGGTGGTAGTCACTGCTTGGTCACAGCCAGCTACCCAGAGGGACTGAGTAGTTGAACCTGTGGGCTCGGAACCATAGTCACAGGGGACATCAAGCTCAACTGGTATAACATACTACACAAAACATTGTTCTACCTCCTACTTTGGTGATTAGCACGACTGGGATCTTAAAAGCTCGCAAGCTGCCATCTAGATGCATTGATGGGTCTCTCCTTGTCCAGAGCAAACAAGAATGAAGAAAACCAAAAACTCATAGATACAATCAGTCCTAGTGACTGATACACCACCCAATCTGCAGCCTATATGACTATGAGACCAGAAGAACTAGATGGTGCCCAGCTACCAATGTCAACCACTTGGAAGGGTATCTATGTAGGAGATCCTGGATAGAGAGGGAGAACAATGTGGACAAAACTCAGAATCATTTGGAGAAAAAAAAAAGGGGTGGGATGGGGGAGACAAGGTTTGCTGTCCAATAGAGCCTGGTGGAACCACTGAGACTATGGCCCCTATGTGCCCTTCAGATCTGGAATTGAACCCACACCTGTGGCTTCTAGCCAAGCAAAAGATAGGCATATGAGTTGAACATTTACCTGAGGTAGATACACTCCTTGGAGAGAACAACGATGGGAGAAAGGACTGCTTATGCACAGGGAGACAGCTCAGGGGGCAGGAGTGCATGGAGGGATAGACACAGGAAAGAGGTAACTATCGGGAGGAAGCGGGAGGGGAGCTGTTGCATTGTGGTAAATTGTGGTCAATGTCATGCAACAAAGTGTATGTGAACTGCTGTATGGAAAGTGAGATTGCTCTGTAAATTTTCACCCAAATCACAGTAAAAAAAAAAGAAAACTGAGGTGATAACTTGAGTCACTCCCTCTAGCAAGGCAGGACTCAATATACATCCTACCCTAACGAGGCATGTTGTTGTTATTGTTATATGCCATCGAGTCGGACCCAACTCATAGTGACCTCTCCTTGGGTTTCCGAGGCAGTATCACTACAGAAGTAGATTGCCCAACCTTCCTTCCGAGGAGTGGGCTGGTGGTGAACCGCCAGCCTTCTGGTTAGCAGTCAAGTGCCTTATGCACTATGCTACTAGAGCTCCCAAAGAGGCATAGAAGCTAGAATTTAAAATACATCACAAAATGGAGGACTACAGCTAGAAAGGGCCACATTAGCAATTCACTGCACTGCACTGCACTGACCAAAATGTTAATATTGCCAAGGCTGATAAACTGGATTAGACAGACAAGTCGAAAAGGCAGTTGAATAGACAAGTCTGGAAGTCAAGAGAGATGTATGGGCAAGAGATCCAAATCTGGTAATCATCAGCACAGAGATGGTACACAAAGCCTCAAAAATGGATGAGATCACCAAGGGAGTGAGTGTAGATACGGCAGGGGTCTAGGGCTGAGGGTGCCGCAACATGAAGAGGTCAGGAGAGGAGGTGGAACCAGCGAAAAGGTTGAGAAGAAATATGATGAATGGGGATTGGGCAGGAGGTGTTAGAGGTTTGAGGAGAGGGGAGACAGTGATAGGAAACCACCTAGGAGAGTGAGAAAGTAACAGGCCTAGAGAAGTCCATTCACAGTCTCCACTTTACTTTAGGTGAAGAATTTAAAATGAGATCAGTAGTTCAGCTACAAAGATGGAAGTACAAAGTATACAGAGTTAGAGCTGACCAGGGTTGGGGCTTTGCCAAACTAGTAGGATGAGTCATCTGGACAAGGAAATTAAGCGTATATGGAGAAAGTAACTTGAATGACTGAACAGGAACTTTTAAGCTCTTCAAGGAAGGAAAAGAAAACAGCCAGAGGTTGAGAAACCGTGAAAAGATTATACGATCAATGGATTACAGGTTAGAAGAAATTGAAGAATTGCTAAGGTTGAGATACTAGAGGGAGTGAGGTGGAAAGATAGGAGAAGGTGGCCAAAGAGTACGATGCATACAACTGGAACTAAGGAGGGCTGAAATAATTGATCTTAAAATAAATAAAAATTAAAAAAAAAACAAACAAACTAAGGAATTAATGGATTAGTAGGGTAGAGGAGAGTTCAAAAATTTGAGAAGCTAGGCTGGTGGAATATCATCTACATGTGTGTCAGAATTATGAAAGAAGTAGTGGCATGGGGAGTCCCTGAGTGGTGCAAATGGTTAACTTGGTTGGCTGCTAATCAAAAGGTTAGATGTTCAAATCCACCTTAGGAAAAAGGCCTGGCAATCTACTTCTGAAAAAATCAGTCACTTAAAATCCTATGGAGCACAGTTCTTCTACTCTGAGACAGTTGAAGTCACCATGAGTCAGAGCCGACTCAGCAGCAACCGGTTTAGTGGAGAGAGTGTTCGTGAGCAAAGGAAGCTAAAATCAAGGAATAAGGGTGGGTAACCAAGGGGTCTGAAGATGACTACAACACTGGGATTAAAAAAGCAGGTCATATAATTGTATATATAGAGAGGGTTGGTCCCATTTTTGTACATATATTCTGCAATGAAAATATATTGTCTTGATAGAAAAAATTATTGTAAAAATTAAAGTGCCACCTCAAATTCTTTTTGGAAAGGGCCACATACAGATAAACACATGTATACATCTGAGGTTCAAACCCGCCGGGTTGGGCAATCTGCTTCCATAGTGATACCGCCTTGGAAATTCAAGTTTCTGTGAGTGGGATGCGACTCGACGGCAATGAGTTTTTGAGTATGCATACACACATTCATATACATTCATGTATACATATATACATTCATATATATCTGATAAGATTCTTCAATAGAGATTCTCCAGTTGAATTACATTCTTCAGAAAAAAGATGTTAAAATAATAAATTTTTTAATAAATAAAAAGCCACATTAATGAGGTATATAAAAGTGAGTATTCTATGAAAACAGAGCATTAGAATACTGTTCTGCCTTAATAAAGAACAAGAATGTATGTATTCTGAACTATATCTACCTCAAATTATTTTCCTGAGTTCTGGTATTGAAATGCCAGAATTATGTATTTTATCGATGAGTAAACACTGTTATTCCTCAGTCTCTCTTTGCTGTGAATGTACTATCTATCATATACCTTTGAAACAGAAAATTAGGAAAACATTTACATCTTCCAGTTTCTGAAAAAGGGTGAGTAACCAAGGGATCTATGGATGACTGCAACACAGTCCTTGTGAGGAAGTAGAAAGAGAGAGAGAAGAGAAATAAAAGAAAACAGGCAGAGTATGCTTTCAGGAGGCTTGCCCATCCCTCTTAGTGAGCCAAATTCTTACGGTGTTTAAAACTAAGTTTTGCCTAATACCAAACTTCTACATTCTGTCCTTTAAGCAGTCCGAGACCTCTAAAAGCAAGAAGGAAGCAGAACAGAAGTACAAGGTGGAAGAAAATAAAGAAAGAATGACTTTGCCTTTGAGGTGGTCAGACGATTTCACGTGTCACATCGTTACCTGATACCAAGCCATAAACATCTAGGTATAATGTAGTGTTTGTATTTATCCACTGAAGCGAACAGGCCAAGGTTTACCCAATGAACAATTATCATCCTGTTCTATTTCGAAGTTACAATTTGCAAAGCAGTGAGAAGGGTCTACCTGTTGGATATGGCATGTGCTCATCTTGCTGAAAGTTTCTTGCCCATCCTAGTCATCACAATCCCTTGTACTTAATTTAGCCTCCATTTGCAATTCATTTCATCTCAGGTTATCACTAAAGTATTCTGATGAGTTTGAAAAGATTGATTCTATTATTAGCCTCTTTATAAATGAGAAATACCAAGGCATTGAGATAAGTGCCATAAGCCCCAAGAAACAAAGTCCAAGTCACAACTCTGTCTCTTTAACAAGTTCTTCCCGCTTCCATGCATTTTCCAATACTGTGCCCCATCCCCCCACCCCCCACCAAGTGCCTCCCTTGGGGTCACCTGTTCAAATCCTGCTCCTTAAGCAAAACCTAGCCCAGAGCCACAGGGTAGCCTGGAAAGAAAATTAGAGACAGCACTGAATTTAGGCTCAGAAGCCCTCAGAGGAAAAAGTACTGCCTCATCCACTTATTGATTAGCTATGTGCTTTTGAACAAGTTACTTAGTCTCTATTCACCTCAGTTTTCTTACATCTAAAATGGGGATAAGAGCTGTGTATTTCAGAATGCTTGGGAAGAACAACTAAGAGAATAAATGAGGAAGCCCACACAAACATGATGCATTGTTCAAGGTTGCCCCTAAATGCTACTTGATCCAGGGCATCTTCCAGCCTTTCAATGCAACCCACATTGAACTCTCCCTGGCATTTCCTGGCTACACTATTTATTTCTCTTAGCACTTGGACGTAATTCATCTTTCACAGTGAGAAACCCTTCCCCTCCACAGGGCCTAGCTACCACAGAGCTGTGAGCGTAACAGCATAATGCTCTGTTATCAGTGTTATGAGCTGGTAGAACCGAGAGTAGAATCTGAACCTCCTGCTGCTGCAGTGCTCATTTCTACGAGAAATTAAAAAAAAAAAAAAAAAAGTTGCTCTATTGTATATAGTTACATGCAAACTCTAATAAGGATGCTCAGCGAGAGGCAGAGTTTGCTCTTTAAAAGAAAAGGGTAAACAACACAAACTGCCTGAAGAGACCCTAAGCATGGGCCAATCACAGATAAGCTCCCAGAGGCTCCCCAGGCTGGAGGAATCCCACTAAAACTCAGCACCTCCCCCCCATCAGAGAACCAAGAGGGAACCATTTCTCCCCCGTGTATTGTCCTTAAGTGACACAGGGAGAAATCTTGCTGGACATATTTGCAAATCAGGCAGCTATTGTTTGATTTCTATAGAAAATAAGACATTCTAAAGGTTTTTAATTTCTTCAGGGGGGACGCATTCTATGTATATAGAGTATTTTCTTCAGGGGTCTTTGCTTTCCCACAAACACCAATCTGCTAACAGTGCATTACCTGATCTTTGTAAACCAGTGTGCTGGGGCTTTCCCGTGGTTTGTCTTTAAACGAGTAAGTGGCTGCTTGCTTCTGTAACAATTCCACGGAGCCGGGAGGCATGTACTGGGGAATATCATTTATTACAGGATTGTTTCTGTGCACAAGAGGTGGTTTTCTTCTTCCTTCATTTTTAAAATTGTAGGTTGCTATTACTGGATTTGATAGAGATTCTTCAATGAAAGTTTTCAAGTGGTAAGTGCCAGGTATAGGAGTATTCTGTGGGAAATTGACACAATTAAGATCATTGGGTAAGCCTGTAACATCCTTTAAAGCACCTTTTTTTTGGAAGGCTAATTCCTAAGTAGCAATTCCCTTCATTTTAAAATTTAATGAAATTCTATCAATAATAATAAACACTCCTGATAGAACAATATTTCAAGAGAATCATGATTATTTGCTTTCTGAAACAATTGCTGAATAAATACTAAACGGATTGTGGCCATAGTTGAAGTCTACTTTTTGAAAAAGTAACTTCAGGGATACACCTAAACTATGATTTAACTTAAGATTTCAGGGGGCGCTCTGGTGGTGTAGTGCCTAAGGCATTTGACTGCTAACCAGAAGTCTGGCAGTTCAAACCCACCAGCCACTCCTCAGAAGGAAGGCTGGGCAATCCACTTCCATAGTGATACCGCCTCAGAAACCCAAGGAGGGGTCGCTATGAGTCACAATCAACTCGACAGCAGTGAGTTTGGTTTTGGTTCTTGGAAAGTTTTCAGGCTCTAGTGAGACCACTCAGGACAGGTTCTGTTTGTTGTTTATTTTTAATATTTTTATTGTTGTAAAAAGATAGGTAACACATTTGCTAATTCAACATCTTTCAAATATACAATTCATTGCCACCAATCACACCAATCATGTCGTACAACCATCACTAATATCAGATGCCAAATTTCCCATCACCATAAACAGACACTCAATGCTTCCTGAACAATGACTCCTCCTGACCCCCTTCCTCCTGCCCCTGGTCACCTCTATTAAACTTTGATCTCTGTATATTTGCCTATTCCAGTTATTTCATATACATGAGATCATACAATTTATGGGCTTTGGTGCCTGTCTTTCAGGACAGCTTCTTGACAAAACAGGTTATCCTACTTGTGCTTAGTAGATACTACATGTTTCTTTCTACCCTCAAGTGGGAAGCTATAGGATAGTGATACGAGACCGGGGGTGGGCTGGCAGAGCATATGGGCTAATGAGGCCAATAAGAGGTCTGCTATTTTCAAATCACAAGCACAATGTGGCTAAATGACAGGCCTGAAGGGTTAGTACTGCTTCTCTTGTAGCCCTCTTTCCACTGAGCATGCTGCTCAGTTCTGTCAGCAGCTCAGTCCTGCAGCAGAAATCAGTTCAATTCCAAGAAGACTTTTTGACCCTTGGGGCCTTCTATTGTTGCAAGGTGTTAAAGAAAACATTTCCACAATCTAGCAATTACATCTCTTGAGGGGGCGAGGGTCTTCTGGACATTTTTTAGTTTGGGTCATCTTGCTTTCATACATTGACCATGTTAGCAGCAGTTATCATAGTCTATACCATCTAAGATAAAAACTGAAACCAAAATACCTTCCAGAATATATGCTTTTCTTCCTTGTGTAATCTTACAAAGATCATAAACTATGATGACCTTATCCACATATCTACAAAGCATATGGATTCTAAGAGTTGTTTTATTTTTCCAAGCTTTGATTGCATTCAAAATGTAAACCTAACTTCTCATTCATATGCTGCTACTACGAATGGCCAGATTTCATGTCACCTACTTTGGTCACGTTGTCAGAAGGGACCATTCCCTGGAGAAGGATACCACGCTTGGTAAAGTGGAGGGTCAGCAAAAAAGAGGAAGGCCCTCAGTGAGACAGATTGACACAGTGACTGCTACAATGGGCTCAGGTATAGCAAGGATTGTGAGGCTTGTGCAGGACTGGGCAGTCTTTTGTTCCGTTGTACATGGGGTCGCTATGAATCAGAGACAACTCGACAGCACCTAACAACAACATGCTGGTACTACTAGGTTAAGTATGAAATGATGTGCATGTAGATCTGAACAATCAATGCTTTCTTACAATCAAGTGTTAGGAACTTAAAAGGTAAGACTGATTTAAAAATTAATAGAAACAGGAATAATCTGAATTTGAAAGGCTGAAAAAATACATACTGTTAATGCTACTCTCCACCATCCTTCTCTTTCAAAAGATGATGACTTCCGGGTTGGTTTCTATTAACAAACACAAAATATGCTTATTTATTTGAGAGGTGGTCTTTTTTTTTTTAATTTTATTTTATTGTGGCAAAACATACATACCAAGACATTCACCAACATAACAACTTCCACATTTACAGCTCAGAGGCATTAGTGACATGTTTCATGTTGTGCCCCCTTATTGCTATCCTTTTCCAAAATATTCCTTGAGAGGTGATCTTTTGAAGTTAAAAATAATTTATAAAACATTTACTTGAAGAAATTAATGTCTTCACAAGTTGTTCAGAACGTATTAGAATAAAAGATACATAATGATAAATTTTGCCTGTAACATTTCCTTCAATTGCTACTTTTAATATCTAAATTCCCTTTGTAAAATCAGAATAAATATTTTCACAGAGATGTTATAAGAGTATTAGATGTAATAAAATTTAATATTCTTAGGAAGAAAAAGAGTTGGTAAATCCAAAATTGTACTATTATAAATTAGCTTTAAGGTTCAGGTGATTTGGCTGTGAGCTCAAGGTAAAAGTGTATAGTTATCATTTTAATGTGATATTGGGATACAAGTTCCTGGAAATACAGCAAATATTGAGAAATGCCATTTCCTGGATTTACACTTGACTGCTAATCAGAAGGCTGGCGGTTCAAACCCACCAGCCACTCCTTGGAAGGAAGATGGGGCAATCTACTTCCGTAGTGATACTGCCTCAGAAACCCAAGGAGGGGTCACTATGAGTCAGGGCCGACTCGACAGCAAATAACAACAACAACAACATCAAATGTGACAGAGCTCCCGTTGTCTATGCATGTCCAGCTAGTCTGTTAAAGTAGAGAGGCAGAATGATGGAAGGGTCAGAAAGACTTGAGCTTGAACCCCAGCTCTGCCACTTAATAACAAAGTGTACCAAGCAAGTTATGAGCCTCATAAGCTTTATGAGCCTTGGCTTCCACACAAAAGTATTAAAAAAATAAGGCACTATCACATCTGGCATGAGACTACGGCACTATGCACATAAAGACTTGTGTTCACAACCAGTGCTTACTTAATGGTAGCTGGACTTCCGGGAGCTCTGGTAGCATAGTGCCTAAGGCACTTGACTGCTAACCAGAAGGCTGGCGGTTCAAACCCACCAGCCACTCCTCGGAAGGAAGATGGGGCAGTCTACTTCCGTAGTGATACTGCCTCAGAAACCCAAGGAGGGGTCACTATGAGTCAGGGCTGACTCGAGAGCACATAACAACAACAACAACAAGCTGGACTTCCAGTAAGATGGAGGGACAGACAAGTGACACAAACCCTCTTCAACAAAGAAAAGAAAAACCAATTGACAGAGATACAGAAGATAATCCTGGAGCCCTGAGCTTTGGAAAGAACGAAACAGAAGTGGATTAGTCACCAACTAGTGGAAAAACCTGAGCGAAAACAGTGAGTACAGAGATGGCTGGAGATGCACTGTCAGCTACTCTGACGGGACCAACAGCCTGAATATTTCCAAGTGGTGTTGGGACCTGAGAATTGACTTAAAGATCAGCCCTGGTCACCAAGGGCTACAGGGACAACTGCGCTGGTGGCCTATGACTAGGAAGGGAAACAGCAAGGAGGGAGACAACCTGAGCTGTTGACTTTCCGCTGTCCAGAGGGCACAGCCATTTTGACTGTTTACACACAGAAGCCATTTTGGATATCTAAAGCGACTGATGTTGCTGTTGTTGTTATTTGCCATCGAGTCGGCCCTGACTCATAGCGACCCCTCCTTGGGTTTCTGAGGTGGTATCACTACGGAAGTAGACTGCCCAACCTTCCTTCCGAGGAGTGGCTAGTGGGTTTGAACCGCCAGCCTTCTGGTTAGCAGTCAAGTGCCTTAGGCACTTTGCTACCAGAGCTCCTAAAGTGACTGAGGGCGCAGCCATTTTGAATATTTACAAGTGGTGCCAGTTTGGATATTTAAAGTGACCAAGGGCACAGCCATTTTGAATGTTTACATGTGGCAACCATTTTGGATTTTAAAGTGATAGCATTCTCGTTCAGATTCCAGGGACCTAAGAATAGGTTCTGTTTTCCAAGGTCGGCAGGGACATACGAGAGGCTGACAACAGGAAAGGAGACAGGTGGTAAGTGTATTAGTGCTGTCAACTAGTAAGTAGAGGAGCACAGTACTTGCTTGCATAGATAACATACAAAGAAAACAAAAATCATGGGCAAGTCATTCCAACATACAATCACCAATTAAATATAAACACAAAAACATCACAATGCCTCAAAGACAACACAGCATTACATCCACACAAAGAAGCAAGATAAAGCAGGAGAAACAAGGGACCAGGATACAGAACCAAAGCACATCCCTGAGGAAGACGTGGCACTGGAACTCCCTGATAAGGAATTCAAAAGAATTATATTTAGGTATCTTCAACAAATTGAGAGACAGATCAAGGAAAACACAGAGAAAACCCTAGAACAATTTAGAAAGACAATACAAGAACAAAATGACAAAATTAATGGAAAATTGAAATGATACACAATCTATACACAGAAATCCAGAAGATTAATACTAAATTTTCAGAAATAGACAAGACATTGAATGACGAAAGATGAGAATATATCAATTCAGGAAGTCTAACAAACCCCAAACAGGATAGACTCCAAAAGAAAATCACCCAGACATATCATCATCAAACTTACCAAAACCAAAGACAAATAAAGAATCATGAGAGCAGTACGGAAAACCAAAAAGTTACCTACAAGGGACAACCAATAAGACTAAGCTCAGATTTCTCAACAGAAACCATGCAGGCAAGAAGACAATGGAATGGTATGCATAAAACCCTGAAAGAGAAAAATTTCCAACCAAGAATTATGTACCCAGAAAAACTGTCCCTCAAATATGATGGTGAAATTAGGACATTTCCAGATAAGCAGAAATTAAGGGAATTTGTTACAACCAGACCAACCTTACAAGAGATGCT